AGTCTCTGGAACCTGACCCCTTTTTAGAACAAAACTGGGTTCGTTTGGTATCTCAAACTTAACTATCTTTGCATGACAATCAATGATAGCATAGCAAGAAGATAACCAATCCATTCCCATCAGCATGTCAAAGTCAATCATATCAAGTACAATAAGGTCAGCTAAAGTATCCCTACCCTCAACCCGAATCTGACAAGCAAGATACACGTATTCAGCTAATAGAAACTCTCCAACAGGAGTAGCAACTAGAAAAGGATCATTCAATAGCTCAGGCTGTCTACTAAACCTTAAAGCAAAGTACGAGGACACATAGGAGTGAGTAGATCCTGGATCAATCAACGCAAGTGCATCAAATGAACAAACAGAAACAATACTTGTAACCACTGCATTCGAGGTCTGAGCATCCTGTCTAGTAAATGCAAAAACTCTCGCCTGACCTCTACCAGCATTCCCTTGTCCTTGATTCACATTAGAATGATCTCCAGCACCTCGACCTTTATTTCCTGTACCTGTAGCACCTGAAGTATTATGAGTAGTCTGAGTAGGTGCAGCTGACTGAATAGAAGCATGGTTGAAATTTCTCGGAGGCTGAGGGCAATCCCTCAAGTGATGTCCCTACTGGCCACACCGAAAGCACTCTCCAGTTAGAACACGACATTGGCCCAAATGTGATCTACCACAGGTCTGGCAGACTGAAGTAGTGGCATATATCTGCCCAAAATTACGATGTCCAGATAATGATGGTCCCCTAGTACCCTATCTGTAATGTGGTCTGTATGTGGACAGTGAAGACAGGTGTGTCCCTGTCTGAGAACCCTGTTGTTGTTGTCCCTGATTTTCTGCTCTTCGATTTTTACTAAAACCGCCACTGAAAGACCCTCCTGTCTTGGCCTTCTTACGTAAATCAATAGTTGCACGCTCATCGCGTCCCTTGTTTTCAATCTTTCTAGCAAGGCCGACTGCATCAAAGTAGGATAAAGTCTTCATATGTGGGGCTACTGCAGTGTATAAATGACCAACCAATCCATCAACAAACCTCTGAACTCGAGCTTCTTCGGTAGGCACTAAGTAAGGAGCATATCTAGCCAGCTTACAAAACTTGGTGTTATATGTTGACACATTCATATCTGGAGTCTGAACCAATCTCTCAAAGTCTCTAGCATATTTTTGCATCAGGCTGTCTGGAAGAAAATGATTCACGAACAACTTAGTGAACTCGTCCCATGTCAGTGGTGTTGCTCCTGCTGGCCTTCCCAGCAACACAGTTTCATACCATGTATTGGTCATATCCTCTAGATTGTATGCTGCGAGATCCACGGATCTCTCGCTAGAACATCCTAGAGCATGTAATGCCTTGAGTTTCCCATCCAAAAAACTTTGAGGATTTGCTGAATTATCAGAACCTGTGAATTTTGCTGATTTCAATTTCAGGAACTCTTGTAGGGATACTTCCTTATTCCCGAAAGTCTGAGTCTTTGCAGGTGTTTGTGCCTGTGAAGTAGCCTAAGGAGCTGAACTTCCACCCTGAGTAGGCACCAATGCCTCTAACACATTCAATAACCTTGCTACTGCGTCTGTAGGTAAGGCAACAGTAGGTACAACAGTTGGCACTGGTAATGGAGCGTCCTGAATCCCCTGTTCTTGCACTTGATCTGGCATAGTAGTTGGGGTTGACCTATGTTCCCAACTTCAGGTTGAGGAGCAGTCTGTCTTCTAGTTTGATGAACCCCAACTTGACCGCCAGCCCGGGTAGTACAACATCCAGCACCACGTCCAGCAGATGATGGTATGCGTGTCCTAGCCATCTACGAAAGAAATACTCCAAAGTCAATCTCAAGGTTATCTCAACGCACGATCAAAGAATGAAAGAAGGGAAAACATTCCTAGATGTTCAGTAGCCTCAAGATCATAAGTATGGGCGCCTAAATACCCATGAACAAGACTCTACTAAACATTGCTCCATGACTCGAGACTTAAAGCCTAAGCTCTGATACCAACTTTGTCACGACCCAATTTAGGATCGTGACCGGCACTTAGGAACAAGTGCCCCCAAGTAAGCCTCATCGGTATTTTACAGAAAATCAGACAAAGTTTTCCCTATTTTTGGACTATTCCAAAAAATTTTCTGTCTCAAATCAACAACCAAACATCCTAATATCAATCCAAACAACAATAACTTTATCAATTAACTTAAACAAATATCTACCATTAACCCACTAGCAGCTAGAAATACTAATTTATCTCCAACTTTGATAATAAAGAGTGATACTCAACATAAGTCTATAATGACAAAAAATATTCATGACACTAAAAGAATGACTATGGAGTGACTCTAAGAGTTCAAAGAAAAGACCATAACAATAAATAAAAACTCCGCCCACGCGAACAAGTGTGAGGCTCACCAAGAACTATCAACTTGTGCGCTCTAATTAACAGAATCCTCGCCCGCGTCAACTGCTGTCTCTGTAAAAAATAGCGGGGAGTGAGTCACTAGCTCAGTGAGTTATAACACTTAACCACAACCGTTTTTTTTGGGGACATGTCAGAAAACATGCTAGTATATATATTAAACAGAAAATATCATAAGAATGCCCTTTCAGAAACAATAAACAATAATCAGTCTCATCATGTTTTTCATGTAATATAAATCAATTGGCAATTCGGTAATAAGCTCGGTAAATACTGTGTAATATCAATATTCATGTTTGGAAGGTTTCAATAAATAGATCATGTAATCGGTATAACTATGGACTTCTTCGTAAGAAGTCAAATATAACAGTGGTCCCTACTCGAGGAAAATCGGTAACGGTATGCTAGTTCTACCTTCCCACTAGCGAGGGCTATAACTTTACTCGGTAATTATAAGGTTCACCAGGTCTAACGAACCCGCCGTTAGCTAAGGGTTCCTTCAAAGTCTACTCCCATTTATACTTGTCTCTGTAATCCGTATATACTCATAAGAAAATATTTTAAAACAATATAGGGCATTTCGGTTCTTATCAAATTATGTAATTTCATTTCGATAACTGTAAATTCAAGCAACGGTAAAACATATCTAGTGACAACAAGAATATTTTAAAATAACGGTAATCATCTCAAATAACTATTTCGGTATCATATCGAGTAAAAAACTTATCCCACATACAACTCAAAATAATCGGTAACATATTCATATTAAAAAATCATGTGTAACTCATGTAAATTATGAAAATACAAATTGCGGTAAGATTACTACTCACAGTACTCGTGCCAAAATACCAAATGCTTCACCTCGAGCAATTCGTACAAATTTCTCCAATCAATCTATAATTACATAATATCGATCTCATGTTAATTTCCTTGTTTAGGCTAATTCATAGCTAATTTAGAATACCCAACCCTCGAGGTTTCATATTTGACTCTTAAATTCACCGAATTATATTTACCCACATATGAGTAATTACTAATCTCTCAACTTTTTAGCCTATTCATATAATATACTCACTTAATTCATGAAAAGTCTTATGGATTTTCTCTCAGTTCCCTAACCTCCTTTTTTTTTTAACTCTGAATCAAATCCCAACATTATATTTACTTATAGCCTATTTGGTCAAGCTTATTTTTGGGCCAAGCGTGTTTTTTTGGCCAAAATTACAAATTTAGGTGTTTGGCCAAGGTTTTGGAAGGAAAAAAGTGCTTTTGAGGAGAATCAGAAGCAGTTTTTGAGAAGAAAAAAAAAGTAGTTTTTCTCCAAAAGCACTTTTCTGAGAAGCACTTTTGAGAAAAATACACGTAGAAGCAGTTGTCAAAAGCTTGGCCAAACACCAATTACTGTTCAAAAGTGCTTTTCAAATTAATTAGTCAAACACAAACTGTTTCTCGCCTTTTGAGAAAAACACTTCTCAAAATAAGCTAATTTTAGAAGTTTGGCCAAACAGACTATTAGTCCCGCAAGGAATCATGTATATAAAAATTACTACTGTTTCAAAAGAAGGAAAACTATATATAATTACCTGGAGCTTATCGCTGAGACTAAAGAATATATGCCAATGTTTAAATGGAAAATGTATTTGGCAGTGAGGCAACACCAGAAACTTTCCCCCCTTTTCGTTTTCCGTGTTGATGCCTCTGTCAAGGTTTTTGGGATTTGCAGAAGGGATTTTCTCTTTTTTTCTAACCCTTTTAGCTTCTGTCACGTTAATGGGCTAAGCCCACTTACTTGTATTCTTTTTGTTTTTGTTTTTGTTTGTCTTGCATTATTTATTTATTTGTTGTTTCTTTGTCTTTTTTTTTTTAATTTACTTAACTATCCATTATTTAATAGGAGATATTACAATCACCTTTTTTTATAGTAATTATTTTTATAAATTATATAATATACAATATACAATAATAAGAAGAATTTAAAATAATTTTGAATTTTGGAGGCAACAGCTTCACTGCCAGAGCCGCCCCTGCGCAAACCTTTTAAATTTAACGGGCTGAAAAAATAGCGGAAAAGTAAAAGAAAAAGAAAAAGAGAAAAAAGAGCAGAACTTTCGGGATCCAATTAGCGGACGTGGCGCCGCTCACGGCGGTGTTCCCGAAGCCGGTGGGGGTAGTGCTGACAGCAGTGGCGGTTGTGCCATACAACGCTTCGCACGATCTCTCATTTCGAAGTACAAAATATTATAGAACTTATATTTAAATCACAAGAATAAAAATTGAAACTTGAGACTGGTAAATTTGGCATTTAATTGGTTTAATTCATGAATTAATACTATCCTTTGTATTCTACCAAGACGTTGGAACTCTTAACAAAACTTACGAACTTATGCATACAATTGTACCGGCAAATTGGCGTTTCGTTATTTCCGAAGTTCGATTGTGCTTTGTATTTGGGAGACATCGGAACGTGAACGGCTTTAGTGTATCAGTTCGTGTTTCGATTTTGGATCAGCGAAATTCGCTAAATAGGTATTTGCATCCCTCTGCATTTGAAGTAAATTAGCGGCTTTTTCTTCTCACCTCTTTTTCTTTTGTTGTTGTTGAGAAAATTGTGGACTAAATTCGAAATTAAAATGCTGAATTTTTTGGTATTTTAGATATTTCAATATTCTCCCTATCTAAAAACTAATAGTATATGCTTAATTCCACATTTTCTCATCAAACGTTTGATTTGGAAGAAAAAGTTGCACACATTTTGTATTTTATAGTAATAATAGTTTGTTTGGCAAAGAATTGTTGGATAATGTGGCTATTATTTTCAATTTAGAAGCTTCTTTGTTGAGAATTTGAACATCAAAAACTAAGCTTGATGTATGGTGCAAAAATTGGAGTTGGAGGCAATTCTTTTGCATATTCAGTAGTGTGAGATATAGACTTTGATGTTCCTTTTGTTAGTTCAACATTACCTTTTTTTAATGTATCCTTTGATTCCATGATTATTACTCAGCAAACGAGTTGTCGAGGGAATGAAATGGCACTGAAATCAATTATTCATGTGCTTAAGGGAGTAGGAGATAATGTAGATAGCAAATCAAAAAAGCAAGCCGAGAGGAAGTGTGTATTGAGCCGTGGCAGGTCATATGTGGCTCCTGAGAGGTTAACATCCTCTCCATGTCTATTCGTTCAAGAAAGTCCGTGGGCGAGTTTGCCACATGAACTGCTGTTTGACATAATCCAAAGAATAGAGGCCAGTGAGATTACTTGGCCTGCCCGTAGAGATGTAGTTACTTGTGCCTCTGTGTGCCGGTCCTGGAGGGAAACAACCAAGGAGGTTGTTAGAACTCCGGAACAATGTGGGCTGCTGACTTTTCCTACGTCGTTGAAGCAGGTAGATTGGATGTTGCATTATTTTCTTGTTCGTTTAGCTGTTTATTAGCAAACTGACCCTGATTTCACTTCTTGAATTCCTGTTAGCCTGGGCCTAGAGATTGTCCAATTCAGTGCTTTATAAGAAGAGAAAGGGCAACATCAACTTTCCGATTATATCTTGGCCTGAGTCCTGGTAAATTATGATACTCTCACCCTCCACTTTGTTCTTGATCTATCAATTCGAGTTTATTACTCTGACTTTCTAATTATATTTGTGGTCAATCTCGTTGCTTTCCTAATAAATAGAAAATGTATGTACTTTGTACTTTTTTCTCCCTCCAGTTGTGATTCAGTTCCTACATTTCTTCCTGATATCATTGATTCCAGCTTAAGATACCTTATCGAACACTACTCTTCTGTCTCACTGTTATTACACCATCTTGATGATTCAGATGATAACTTGTGAGAAATTATCTTATATAGGTCTGATGATTTCAACATATTCAGCTCTTTCAGGGGATGCCAGTAAATTGCTATTGACGGCAAAGAAGATTAGAAGGGCCACATGCACTGACTTCTTAATATCCATGTCGAAAGATGATTTTTCCCGGGCAAGTGATTGTTATGTTGGGAAGTTAAGGTTGGTATGAAGCTTCATCTTATTCTTTGTCTTAAGAAAAAAAAGGCCAGATTTCCCTCCTGCTACTAATTGCTTCCATTGATCAGGTCTAATTTTCTCAGGACTAAGTTTGTCATTTATGACGCTCAGCCACCATGCAATTTATTGATCCAGTCCAGTGGTGTGTTACATAAAAAGTTTGCTATGAAGAAGGTAGAGCCAAAGCAGTTATTTGGAAATCACAATGTGGGTACCATTTCTTATGAAGTCAATGTTCTACGTACAAGGGGGCCAAGAAGAATGCGGTGCACTATGCATGCGATCCCTTTCACTGCAATTCAAGAAGGTGGATCTGCTCCTACACCAGCAACTTTCAAAGAACACGTTCAGTGCAATTCATCTTTAGTATCAGCAGTTTCAAATAGGACAGTCCAAGATTCTATTTGTAGTTGTTTTGATGAGCCAGTTGAAACAATTCAAAAGAATACAGAACCTTTGACTTTGAGGAATAAAGCTCCAAGATGGCATGAACAATTGCAATGTTGGTGTCTGAATTTTAAAGGCCGTGTTACAGTGGCCTCTGTCAAGAATTTTCAGCTGGTGGCCTCCTCTGGCACATCCCAGGGCATCCCAATCACAGAACTAGAAAAAGTAATCTTGCAATTTGGGAAGATAGGGAAAGACATTTTCACCATGGATTACCACTACCCTCTATCGGCGTTCCAAGCATTTGCAATCTGTTTAAGTAGCTTTGACACCAAACCTGCTTGCGAGTAGCCTCTTTTTTTTCTTTTTCTTTTGGCTACTATTACATGCCATTTTGTGATTTTGTCTTCACAGTTGTGTATATATATCCTTTTTTTTAGCCCTCTCCTTTGGAAGGATCTTTTATGTGCAGGCATAGGAGGCATAGGTTATTGTCTAGTAGGAATTTGGCTGATATGCTTCTAGTGCATGCAGTATTCTGCCTGCAAAAAGTGGCAATTCTGTTGTATTCTTCAGCATGCTGTACTTATTCGAAAATTCTGTCAGTTCGCAAGAAGTAATTTGCCCTTTAACTAACATAGTGACGTTCTATCTTCTCCTTTCTTTTTTTCCCTTTTCTTCTTCTTTCCCTATTTTTCTCTCTTAATCAGATTTTGGCTAATCAGATTTTGACACTGATGCTTGCATCAGGGTAGGCTGCCTACATCACACACCCTTGGGTGCGGCCCTTACCGGATCCTGCGGGAACGCGGAATGCTTTGTGCGTCGGGCTGCCCTTTTAATCAGATTTTGGCTAATATTCACATATGCACATCAAAACGAGGCAGTAGAACAACATTTCATAACTATCATGTTTCATATATCACAGCCATCTCAATTGCAGTTGCTTTAAACATGGGTTATTGAGCATATACACAAGGATGTTTAACTTCTAACAATTACATGTATTACAACTGTAGTTTTCAAAGAATCTCTATCTCGTTATCATTACTCTTCTCCATGCAGCCAACATGGCAACCAGGGTTATCTGGATCAGAATCACTTGGTTCAAGGAAAAGGCCTTTGAGGCATCTTCTTCTGATCTTTGGCTCGTATGTAAGTTTCTGGGCAGGGGTTACATTAAATTCAGCCTTGTGTGCCTCAAAGGGTCCTGTTCTCTCACTTGATCTTATAGGTTCTGAAGGCATACAATAGAACAACATATGTATACCTGGATTTTTTGCCTCAATGGCACTGTCAAATGTAATTGAGTTGTTCATGCCCTGCACGTTGCAGTTTAGATATGCCTCTATTTCTTGATCGTCCACGATCCTTGCATCTTTTGGTCGTCTTCCCACTGAATTTCCCTCTGCATCTGTGGTTGCATCGGCACTTTCATCTGGATTCAGTTTGTAGCCTCTGCGAATGTGGATTGCCCCTTCTTTTCTGGATGAGTCAGAACCAAGTTGCATAGATGCTCCTCTATTATCACCTGCAAGTGTGATCACACTCACCGGTCCGTCTTCCAAATTTTGCTTGCCCTCTCCAACTGCCATTCTATGAATAAGCTTCGAGATGTTATCTTTTACCTCTTTGTTAAGGGGTATGTCTTGTTCAGTGGAAACCGCAGTTTCCTTACTGGAACTACTGGCAATTGTTTTGTTCTTTGGCTGAGATAAAACTGTTCTTGTATGTTTTCTGTTAGAGACATTAGAGACAGGGTTCACCCGAATCTGATTGTTATTAGAACTGGCTTGCTGCTCTGTATATGCTTGCTTTGATTGAAAAACAATGCCTGGCTGCTTTTTGGATGTCAGGAAACCACCAATATTTTCTCCTGCACCATAGTTTTTATCCCTCATCTCTTGCATAACTTCCTTCACTTCTCTAGTTTCCTGGATGTTTGTCTCTGACTGTGTCACCATCATAGGTTTGCCATTGATTTCTGAAGAGTCTGATATCTGGGATGGTTCTTCGGTAATGCCTCTAGTGGATTTCACCTCTGATAGTTTTAAAGGTTGCATTATTTTTTCAGGTGACCTAACTTTTGCTTCAGTGTCAGATATGGTCTCCTTCTTGGGAAGCTCCATTTGTTCTGACTGTGGCCGAATTGCTGTGAGCTTTGGTTCTTTTCCATAAATTGATGTAAGTGCTTCAGTGGATTTGGAAGAAGGTTCTGAGCTGTCTAATTGTTTCAGTGGAGATGTTGGCTGAGCAATTGTCTGATCCTTTTGTTGCATTTGAGAGGTTATACCAGATGGAAGATTTGAAGAAATACTCTGGCTTGCAGGAGGAGGTACCTTTGAGGTTAATTGGTCCGTTGAGAGGACTTGAGGATCCTTGCGTGTTGGGGAGGATATCGGGTTCATTTCTCGTGATTGAGGATCTAAAAGAATTGGAAGCAAGGGCACGTGAGAATTGAAAACTGCTCCCTTGTGGATTGGCAAGAAATCGAAGGTATCAAAGGTATGAGTGGTTGGCACATCAGATGGTGATGCTGGTTGAGAACTGATCCCTTGCTGTTCTTGAGATGGTATCAATGGTTGAGACTCAGTTCTGGATGCCCGAATTTGAGAAGAGGGTGAGGGAGAAACTCCTGGAGGACTAGATGGTCCGCTCTGAGCTATTGTGGATGTTGGGGTGGTGCTTATGGTAGTGGTAGGGGTTTGAGTTTCAGATTTTGAACTAGCTGGAGCATTTGCTGGTGTAGAGTTTGAGGTCGATGGCTGGTTAGGGGCTTTGCTTTCAGCTAAAGGTTGAGGAGGAATTGGGGTAGTTTCAATTAAAGGGCTTGTGCTTGTGGTGGAGAGCTGGATAGGGGCTTTGCTTTCAGCTGAAGGTTGAGGAGGAACTGGGGTAGTTTCAGTTAAAGGGCTTGTGCTTCTGGTGGAAGGCTGGCTAGGTGCGTTCATTTCAGCTGAGGGCTGAGGTAGAGGCGTAGGAGATGTTGGTGTTGGGGTGATTGTACTGGTAGGGGCATCATTACGGCTTTGAGTGCCAGCTGAAGGTTGAGCTGGTGAAGAAGGCTTTGCAGATGTTGTGGTTGAGGTGGCGCTTGGTGGCTGCTTGCGAGTTGGGTTTTCAGTTGTAGGACTGGAGGACGGCGTACTGCTGCTGGAGGGCTGTGAAGCAGCTCTTGAGCCAGTACGAGTTGTGGGAGCGCGACTTGTTTTGGTAGTAGGCTGAGTGGATGGTTTGCTTGCAGGTGTTGGAGCTGGAGATGGAGCAGGTGCAGGTGCAGGTTGTGACCAAGGAAGACGGAAGCGGAATGTGGATCTTCGTTCCATTTTACTAGGATAAATGTTATGAAGCAAAAGAAATTTGTTGTTCAATTGTCCGATGATGATATTCAACCAGTGAGAAGCACCAATATATAAAGGTTTGCTTTTGATACCTTTGAACATTTCAAGACTTAGAATGTCTCAGCTTGCCTTCTTACCTTCACCTTTTGCTTCTTTTCCTCTCACCGCAGGCAACTTTTCTCTGGAATTCCTATAATGAAATTTGCCTTATGGTTGAGGTTTGCATCTAACTTTGTTTCTTCTCTGTGTGCATAAGCATAATCCACTTAAAAGTGTTTTTTGGCCATTGTTTAACTCTAAAATGCAAAACCATTTTTTGCACAACGTTTTTCATAATATTCATTTTATGTAACTTGAATTTCACAGAAATGCCACGACCAGACAATGAAATAACTCTCAACCATATGCAAAAGCCAGCAATATGAAGGCAAATTGTTTTATTTCATTGTTAAAGAATATCTCTGCAGGAGGCAAAGGAAGAGGGAAAAAGAAGAAACTAAGCCAACTGTGAAAGAAAGCAGCAACTAAAAAGCTATTTTCCTTTAAAATAGTCGATTACCTCTCCAAGAAGGAAAGCATTAGAAGCAAAATTCACATTAACAAACTTGGACTTACCTGATTTAATAGTTCAAGAACAGAACACAAGAATGGAACTCATACAAACAACAAAGGGGAGAGTGCTCTTCCTTCTCTTGTGACTCTATCAAGTACAGTATAATCAATTAGCTAAGACCAAATTGCCAGTTGAAGATTTCTTTTCCTCATCTTAAGGTAAGTTCTTCCATTTCTCAACACTGAGAACTACTTTATGTCTCAACATTCATTTTGATGAAAACATAAAAGCACATTTATTATTTCTTGAAAAAGACAGATATAGCGAATAATCATTTTATCACGTTTGTAATGCACTTACCAATAATCATTAGTATCTCTATGGTTACCAGATACAAACAAGTGACCTATAAGCATTTGATAGTGTTGTACCATAATCACAGAAACGCAATGCAAGGTCTTCTTCGAATGGTTAGATCATGTCATGAGAAGCTCAAGGTTACAATTCTACAGAACTCGCAGCTCAAAAGCACAAGTGAGATGAACAAAATATTCGCAAGATTTGGACGTGTCATCTCCTTCCCCACGACGCAAAACAAGGAAGCTAATGCCATAATGGTATCACAGTCCACAATGCAGCAAAAAGGGTTAGAGAATACAAAAGTATCTGATGTATTACTGACAAAGGATGGAGAAGAAAGTGGTTCATGGCTTTGTTGTCGGACAAATGACACAGTTTTTGATGCCATCAAACAAGTTGGTTGCTAAAACTTCAACATAACCATAGAAAGTTGATGTTTATTTTGTGACGGACATACAAATAACATTGCTAATATGATGATGGTGACAAATTTGCAGATGGCAGACAATAACATCGGATCTTTGGTGGTTCTAAAGCCAGGAGAGAATCAACTGATAGCTGGAATTATAACAGAAAGAGGTAATTAGCCTTCCAAGTCACATATTCTCCACAGATAGACGAGGCTGCAAAACTTTCTATTACACAATTTGTTTAGAAATAGACATTTTGCTCAATTAGATAAAAATGTTGAACTTCTTCATCTATACTTCAGAGAGTTTCTTAAATGTAATTTTTGTTTTTTTTAATGAGAGCAGACTATCTGCGGAAGGTAATTGTGCAGGATAGATCATCTAAATACACAAGAGTGGGAGATATTATGACTGAGCAGGTACCCTATATATTGTCTTCTTTGTTTATTTGGCCATCTCATTTCTGTTTTTTCTGCTCAATATTCCTACCTTTGCAACAGAGCAAGCTCATAACAGTCACATCCGACACAAACATTCTTCAAGCGATGCAACTCATGAGTGGTAAATACTACTACGTGTTCAACTAATGGAAATAGATATGATTTAAGGAAAATGATCGAATGTTTTATGATTACAGAACATCACATACGACATGTTCCAGTGATAGACGGAAAGGTGGTAGGCATGATTTCTGTTGCAGATATTGTCAAAGCTGTGGTGGAGCAACAAACTGGAGAAGTGAACCAACTGAATCAATTCATTCGAGGGGATTACTACTGAAAACATATTTAGCAAAGCTACTAATATCAAAGTTGCTTGTTGATACTCTCAGCTGATACCAAACCACTACTGTCATTTTCTCAGTGTATTGCTTCATATTACTGGGCACAAGTTTAATAAAAATGTGTAACATAAAATATTTACTTTCTTTCTCTTCTATCAAATAAATAATTAAAATTCGTAAGACTTGAAACTTGATTTGGAGGGGTGCGCCAGGCCCGTGCAATAGTGCAATGCATGGGCGACGCTCGAGAGCCTAGGTAGCAAGCTACCTTAATGGACTCTCCCCTTAAAAAAATTGAGTTAATATCGTGTGGGCCGATGACCCACATACCAGATATTAAACTGATAAGAACAGATACTACACTTGATCTTAGCCAAAAGGCTGAGAAAGGTATGCTTGATCGAAATGACGGGCCTTTTATTTTATAGCGACTCTCTGCTGTTTTCTTATTAGCATCTTCAGATATGGGAGCTGCTTCAGCAAAGCTTAAGGTGCTAATCTATATGTATTATCAAACCAAATTTTATGAACAAATTATGTTCATATCTGAGACATATAAATGTAAAATACGAAAGGAGGGATTACAAAGAAACTAAGGAACAGTGATTAAAGCAATGATGTTTTTTTGGAACTTACTGTCAAACATTTTAATGAGTTTTTGATATCCACATAAGGTCAGGCTGTTAAAAGGTCAAGTAATTGCCTGAATTGTTATTCTCTACGGCGATCAAATTCTCTATCTTGGAGAATAATGATTGATGATAAATGAAGTTAAATAAACCTGAAAGAACATAAGAATTCATGGCATTATATTACAAAGGGATGTTGATACTTTAAAAATGTCCCTAAAGCAGGTCATCCATACATAGCATTCCCTATATTATTTATTATTCACCCAATAGTATATAATTTCAATATTATTATTAACAATCCTTACGGATAATGTCAGCATAACTAGTACATGAACCAAACTACCTTAATACATATTCTTATCAAACTTGGGCTTCTTATTTACACCACGAATTAGACACCAGTGAAAGATCTTTATGTTTTATGACCACCAACCTGCGCATATTGCAATATAAATATCACAAACCAGTTAAAGAAAGCAATAATTTCAATAATTTTGACATCTCTTAGAAAATTGTCTTTTATTTCTAACCACTGAATACCAGAATCCAATAATATACCACTAGAAAGCTAGAAAACATTCCTCAAAAAGACATGCTGATTCTGCATATCTTAATTTCCTCTTTGGAATTCTCCTTTTACCAGCCATTTGCTTATCAGACCTTAAAAAAGCAAAGAGAATAAGACAAGAAAATTCTATTCTGATCAAAAGTATGCAAGTGCTCAGCATATTACTGTTATAAACGCTCTCCTTAGACGGACAATTGTTCTAATTCACAGCTATGCACACACAAGCGCCCACATTTGACTCAGAAAAGAAGAAAACATATCCAGAATATAAAGTCATGACCACTAATCTTGCATTAGCTAAGGTCTCTTATCTAAATATAAGATGAGAAGATACTTCTCCTGCATCTATCTTTTTATCATTTGGAACATTTCATCACCCACAAAAAAAAAAAGGAAAGAAAAATAAGGAAAGCCACCTGCTTATTCTATTTGTTGCAAATTTCTAAGTTGATTCAATCACACTATATATTGATTTTTTCAACAAATTACACTTCTCTTTTTGGCATATCCAAAGATTCCAACCTTAGTGTACTCCTCAAGCTTTTACTAGCATAGGACTGAACAGTTGTTAAAAGGTCTAATCTCAGTCCTCTGATCTTTGAGAAGTCACAGATAACATCTGTGTTTTACATAGGAGTAAGACTTTTCTCTTTGACTAGAGATCGATATGTGCCAGATTTGTTTCATCTTGACTGTTAAACATACTTTCTACCAGATAATTGAAACAAATTTTTACTTCATTGCAGGTTCGAACATTGTTGATCTCGAGTCAATAATTTCCCACAGAAAGTAGGCCTTAGTTCATTATTCTAAATAAGAATAGAAGCATACCCCCTCTCTACTTTATAGCAGCTAATTTTTTTTGGATTATTTTGATAGACCATGTTTTGAAACAGAATGCAAATAACTACATTAACTTGCGACATCACAAAACAAAATTGCAATTAAACTAGATAAATTCATAATTAATATATAAATAAGCTTATCAAAAACCTTATGGTCATGCTACTTTGAGATTGAGAAACCAGTGATAAGTTGCCAAGTATACATTCTATTACATAGATTTTTTAAATGCAGAAATGAGGATATTCTGGACATCTTCAATCAAGTTTTTAAAGAAAAAACGAATGCTATGAGATTGTAGGGGGGAAATACATGGTTTTCAAAACCAAAGGAGGCTTCAGGCATTTTTTCCACATAGGAGTTAACATACAGTTCAAAAATCCGGGGTGGGGCGGGGCTGGGGGTAAAACGCTTTGCCTCATAATTGTTATTTTTGGACTATTATTATTTCCTTTTCTTTTGGGGAGTTTACCGCGATTATCTGATACCTGTAACTTTTAGTTTACCATTGATTAAGTGGGGAAGGGGTGGAAAACTTATTGTACCTTGGATACACCATGTAGAAGGTATTCTAGATAAAAGGATGGGGTATTATCACTTTTATCCCGCACCAGAAACTATTTACGTCTGGTAACCGAAAAAGTGTATAAACTTGTATAATTTTTGTATATAACATACAAAATGTATATATATATATATAAATTTTATACATTTTTTCGGCTATTATTTTTATAGCGGCTATAAAATGTCATTTTTCCTAAAAGGATTCTTAAATATCAGACACATTGTTGCATAACGGCATAGATTCCTACTGTAGTTTTTTTGCTAGAATATAAACTACTATGAGATTTGACAAAAGGTATCCCTCCACCTCATTCATATGGACAGGCAGTATCTCAAATGAAAAAGGTGTCAAAGCAAGTGGTGTAAAAGGGACAATTCTCCCCTTTTTGGCAATTTTGAGAGGCTTTCAGAACTACAACTCTGACTCAAAAATAGTTCATCTCAGAATGACAAACTCCTCAATATGATCTAAACTGGAAAAACCATTGTCGTAGAAATTAAAAGTTCATTTTCTCCTTTAAGCACAAGGCAAAAACTACCATAGCAAAGAAACAGAAGAAGCAATACATCTTGGAAATGTTTGTCCTGTTTCTCTATTAGAGTGACTACAAAGCAGAAATTATTTTGGAAACTGAACTAGTAGCTGCAGGAAATCAAGATGGCTGACTATATATAGCTCGTGCATCTGGACATAGATTTTTGATACTGGTTTTGAAAAGAGTTTTAGGGTCAAATGCTAGTCAGTTTCATACTAGTTGACTTATATTTCCTTATTAGTTAAAACAAATAACAACACCAGAACGATAGTATAGGAGTACAAGAGAGAATAAGTACATAAAACACGCATAGGTTAGCTAATGAAGAGGGAAATCAATCAATCATGGTTAAAAAGAGAAACACTCATCACACAACAGGTATTCTCAGAGTTTTACACCATGATAACCCCGATAGTACCTACACGTTATGTTGAAACACAAAAGGAGGGAAATTCAGAAGACGCGGTAATAGAAATAAGCACAGGGTGACTCCATTTGTAGAGGGGAAAAAAACATAAGCAGCAGCCACTTGCCTGTTCCAACTTGCAACTCGGAATCATAATTTGATACAGCAATAGGCAACCTAATAGTTATAATCATTTAAATGTAAGATGATAAAACTTATAAAACAATGAAATTGAGTTAATGCATAACATTAAACACTTAGTCTTTTTACTTTGTTCATAATTGTTATCATCGATCAAAACACAAAGATCAACAATGCTTCGGTCAATGCACACATTGTAAAAAAATGGCCGGCAGACAACAATTGAAGGCGAAGGGTAACAAATGGTTTTCCAATTGAGGCAGAATTTAAGCAACATGTTGCAACCTAAAGATGGCAAAATATCTTGATAATTGTTTTTCGGCCTAAGATATTATAACATTGGCGTGTCTATCTTAGCCATAGAATTGGAATTAGGGGATCTAATCTCCTCCAGCTGGGTGAATTTCTTATCTGATCCACCCGCTGATGGTCACAAATACTATTTTCTTATTCTTCCTCCACCTATTCCTATTAACATTACTTCAAGAATCATGTATTCTACCTCCCCTAAAAGAAAACGAAATATTCGCCAACTTGCCACAAACCAAGACCATCTCCTCCAGCTTATAAGGAACTAGCTAGCTTAGCATTATCTTGTCCATACCATTCACTTGAGTACTTGACTTTGCTAGCTCACAACCCTCTATCCCTATTAATCAATAATGGCCTCATGGACTACAAGGCAAAACAAGAAGTTTGAAGAGGCTTTGGCTTTATTTGACAAGGAAACTCCTGACCGCTGGCATAACATTGCCAGGTGTGTAGGTGGAAAATCAGCAGAGGAAGTGAGGAGGCATTATGAGTTGCTTGTGAAGGATATCATGCAAATTGAAAACGGCCATGTACCTTTACCTAATTACAAAGCCGTTGAAAGCAATAGCAGGTATGCCAATGAACAAAGGTATAGCAAATCTATACTCTCCACACAACCAAACTAATCTTTTCATCCACATACAAGTCAATGATACATTCTGTATTTTTAAGGCTAAGCATTTTGTTATATCTGCCAAACATTAATTTTCAGAAAGATGATTTAAGAAACACCATCAAAATGTTATCTTTTAACGCTTGTTGACAAAACAAAGTATGTGACACTTGGTAACTTTGAAAATTGACATACCTTGTATAGATTCCATATGTTGTTATTCTCTTATTTCTGGTACTGCTTATTAACCACCTTTCCATTTTTAGTAACTTTAAGTCAAAGGCTAGTCACACTCCTTGTTAAAATAAAATACTGACCCCTATATTGTAAAGAATAAATGCTTAAAGTTTCAACTTTTTGCAAGTGGAAAGTTTAGAGATGTCTGCACATTTACCTATTAATTAAGCTTCTAAATAACTAAAACGAATCCTACTTGTTTTAAATCACGTGCATAAGTCCTACATCTTGATCCCCTACCACTTCATTATACAAAACACAATTGTTTAACAATTGTTTCTAGTGCTGATAATACATATCATCACATGATGCAACAGATATTTTATGAGCTCCTCACATTAATTCCTCGATAATCCTTCAGCAATCCCAATTAGTCACTTCTCGACAAGATAATTTCAGCAGCACTTACAATTGAAAGAAAACACCTTCTGTGTAAGCAGCACTAAGAATATAAGCCAAAAGAGGACTAATTAAGAGTTACTTCTAATAAAGTTGGACGAATCTCTGAACTCAAATTGATATTGTTTTGCTGCATTTCAAATTTTCTTAAAAAGAAGAAATAGTGTTTGTTTCTCAAACAACTAAATAATGCTTATTTCCTCATCATTGATCAATTCTTTACATGGCTATTTCTTATTGAACAGGCTTCTGAAGAACCTGAAGCTACGGTGAGAACAAATTTGCAGCCAATGCTCAATAACATCACATGTTCTCCATTAAATGTCAAAGCATTTAAATTGTGAATTCATGTCTGAGTTTATGAAGAAAGCAAAATGTATGACTACATTATTGTCCATCTCTAATCCATTTAACTTCGATCTTAGTGTGTAATGTTTCTCAAATGTATAATATATAGATATATATAATGTCTGCTTCACTTCTATCTTAGTGTATTTTATTCCAAAAATCAAACTAAAAATACACGCTTCAAAATAAGAACATTTTAATTACATGAATCAAACAGGAGAAGGTAGTACAAATTACCTCTTGACTGGATTTTCAACCTCATACAACCCTATACCAACTGAGATGCGAAGAAAAGAAAGAATAATCAGCGAGTTTTCGAATGCCAAATGGTTCGGTGCGTAAAACTTAGTAAAAATTAAATGACTTAGCTCTTGAGAAGACGTTAATCAAGCATTTAAACTGTGGAGATAAAGTAGCCGGGCGACGAAATTCCTAAAATTGTGAAGCTAACCAAAGGGGGAAAAACACACTGACGCAAGAGATGTAAGCAAAAGTGGAGATGCGGGGTATCGATCCCCGTACCTCTCGCATGCTAAGCGAGCGCTCTACCATCTGAGCTACATCCCCTTTGTTGTTATAATACCCTGGTCAAAATCATAATCAACAAAGATTAAAACAAATATTTACATCTACATCTACATCTATATTATATATTATATATTATATTATCTATCTATATATTATTATAAAAGTACGAATAATTTATTATTATAAAAGTACGAATAATTTATGTTAAATATTGAACGACTAAAATATTCCTATTCTTTTATGCCCTTAAATATTTGTATAGTTTAAGAATCTAATTGTAGTTAAATTACTCAATGATGTAATTCTTTTTCGATTTAAACTACACATATATACATCGACCCTATAAAGTTGATCCGCTTGAATTAGAAAAGCACATTAATAATTTTTTTTTAAAAATTAAAGTGTCTTACGTAATTTACTACAACATATGTTGTAGATTGAATTTTAACTTNATGCCCTTAATTATTTATATTACAAGCAAATAAGAAAAGGACATAATTGGAAACATTACACGCTAAAAATACAAAGTTGTGATGGAATACAAATTTAACCGTGTGAATGAAATAAGAATTGGTTTTGGAGAAGGCATGTAATCACGTAAGAAAAAAGTAGTGAGCAACAAGGAATCAAAATGGCAATGTTTCTCAAGTTTTGTTTTATTCTTGCGTTAAATTGTCTTAAAATTTCGTGATTTGTTTCCCTGAACCTCAACATTCTCTTTATCTTATATAATTGTCTCTTTATCTTATACAATTGTCTTATTTAGATAATTAGTAGTATATTTTTGAAAAATCAAAATCTTGTTAGATTCATCAAATCTCTATCTATACCTATATTTATCAATATTTATATTATTATAAAAGTACGAATATTATTTTTTTTATACCCTTTAAAAGCTAAATTATTTATTTCGGAACATAAGTAATGCTTGGTTAACATTGTAACATTCAAACTCTCTTCCTAATTAATATTTATGATTTTGAAATTAACTAAATATTACTTTAACAAGTCCATATTGGATAGACTTTGCAACGGATCGGAAAGTGATTGCAGTTTTATTTCAGTTAAGGAGGAGTCCTATGGACACAAAACTTATATCCTGAAGATAATCAATATTTCTGTTTGCATTATATGCTCATAATAGGTGTCCACTTTTGAAAATATCAAAATGCATGATTTTAACTCATAGTAGAAGTCTTTTGTATGTGCTTCAACATGCAAAGTACTTATAATAGGTAATAGGTAATTTATTTTTCTTTAACATGCTGGATGCCTACATTCTGCAAATTAAAATCCATAATTTTTTTGTGTGGTTAAATTAACTTTCTCTAAGAGTAAAGTCTAATGATAATATTTGATTTGCTTTGTAGGTACTTTGTCTTTTAAGGATCTTGAAGATCAATGAAAGTTGTTATAAGAAAGACACAATATTGATGAAAAAGTTAAATCTTTGAAAACTGATTAACTTTTTGAGACCTTCTTCTACTTTAACTCTTTTCAGTCAAGCAGAGAACTTGCTTTTTTACTTCATTGATATTAGGCATTAATGTGCATCATCACTTTTGTTTATAAATTTTTTTTTTTTAGATTTTAATTTTACCTACCTGTTTGATGCATGAAAATTGAATTTTTTTGCATATAGATGGAGGAATTATTAGATAATGGACTTCTTATTTATGAAATGTGTGTAATGGAGAAACAATTGGATTAATATCATACTATTATTATCCTAATTCGTGATACTTGATCTAATTGAAACAATGGTTGACGATACATACTTCTTCAAGGAAAAATTCTTTATCATTACCTTTTAACGTGAGATCTCACTAGGTGACTTCTCCAACTTCTTTTATATTCTCCTTTAGTTTTGTCTAATTATGATAAATTTAATATTGACTCAGTCAATAATTAGGGACAAACACTAATTCTTGGAGATGTTTGGGACTTGTCAAAGTGTTCGGACACCAGATATTCGAATTATTCGAATAATCACAACACATCTCATATATATTTGCTTTAACGGTCTTCACTCGACCCATAGATACTAAGATAATCATAGAGATATAAAGTCCCCAAATACAAGTTTATTTGACGGTTAATAGGGTGACTATTATGGGTGACTTGACCGTGAGAAATATTCATGGATGCCAAAGATATCTGAGAGATTATAGGGGAGCTTTTGGTCATGATGAGTATGTGTTTCGAAGTAAACCAAATTTGTGAATTCCGTCTAGGATTATTGTCGCGACCCAAAATTCAACTAGTCGTGATGGCACCTAACTCAACCCGCTAAGTAAGCCACCTTTCAACTATCAAATTTCAATAACAATTATTAAAGAAATTTAAGTAAATAATTATCTTAACCTTATACATTCCCCAAGAACTGGTAATACAAATCATGAGCTTCTAAGATTAGAGTATACAAAACGAAAATGAAATAAATCCATAGTCTGTTTAAATAGTACAAAAACAGACCTTTTATAAATCTAAGGCTACCATGAACAAGGAGCAGCTACAACAGGAACGTATGTACATCTTCAAATCTCGCAACCATCGAGCACAACAACAACAACAATCAACATCTGCACGCAATGTGGAGAAGTGTAAGTGTAGTATCAGTACAACTGACCTCATGTACTGAGTAAGTAACAAACCTAGTATTAGGTTGTAAGTAGTAACGAGCTTTGACCAAGGTCGGGTCCAAAACCACTAATCCACAACAATTAATAACGACATAAAGCAAATAATATCAGAAGTAACTCAGAGATAAAATGCTCAGTCACATCATGATTTCAGCAATAAAAGTTTTTTCTTTCAAGTACATCAGTAAAAATCCAAATCTTTTGCCAAAGTTACCAAAAATGTGAATAAGTTTGAAAACAGAAATTTTTCCAAAATTCCTTTTAATAATAAATAAAATATCTCATTTTCTTTCCAGATAACCATTGTAAAACAAATGCATCACTATACCCATCTGTCAACATGTGTGAGAAATTATGAATAATGTGATACCGTACAACATGAGAAAAATACATCGCTATGCATATATGTCATGTGTGCATGTCAATGCAATGTATCTCAGAGATTGTACTCATGTACTCACACTCTCAGAGTACTCAATTTCACTGTCTCGCATTCTCTCTCACTATGCTCAGCATACTCAATCACTCAGCGCTATACAATACCTGCTGCGGCGTGTAGCCCGATCCCTATTTATAGTCGACTGCGCTCATTGGGGGTGTGTACAGACTCATGAGGGGCTCCTACAGCGCAAGCACTATAAGCACGGACAACTCACGTGCTTCACGGACAACTCACGTGCCATAATATAAAGATCTGGATCCGCACGGCCAACTCACGTGCAATA